GTAGTTTCAGGACTCCGCAAGTCGACAAGAGTGCCGTAACCAGATCGGAGTCCGGCGTCTTGAAATCCACGGCCCCTCGGTGGTCTCTCGCCAAGATGACCAGCATATGGCCTCCCATTTCCCCGCTGACGAGGCCTTCCTGTAGGACCCCGTAGACGAAATCCCTCGGACGGCGTCATGCGTTGGCCCTCAGTGTGATCGTAGTTGTGACCCCCCCGAACCCGACCGTCTCCACGGTAGCGGTTATTTGCCCGCCCACGGTAGTGTGCTTGACCTCGCTGCCCCCAGACTGGCCGTGTGGATGACCCATACCGATCAGGATGGAAAGAAGGCCTTGTAAAGCGCGACGCAGCAGGAATCTCTGGAGTTATCGACGCAATGTCTGTAGCTGAGGACGAACTTTTTTTAAACCCTGCTGGTTCTTCAGCGGCGCGACGGGACGTGGGTTCGCCGCTGAGATGAGGATGAGATTGAGAAGGAGAATTGTCGGCTGTTTGGTTTGACGTGCCTGCGTTGGCGTGACTCTCATGGTTTCCAGATGCAGCTTCATGATGCGGCGCTCGGATTAGATCACCTTCATGTTCTTCATGAAGAAGAGCTGAAGGAAACCCAGTTTCCCTTTGGGATCCTCCTTGAGCCTGGGTCACGTTGACTTCGTCCGATAGACCGACCGAGACGTTCTCGGTGCTAGCCCGGAGGAGTGGTAGAAGAGCCTTCGCGTTCTGGGCAGGTTGGATTTCGTCTTCCATCAAATCTTCGTCCTCTGACAGCAGGACTAATGGGGGCTCTGGAGCAACTTCGGTAACTGCGGAAACAGATTTTGGCGCAGGGACAGATGGCTCCTCATCCTCACTGTCGGACTCGATCGCGACTCTGCGGCGCGTCGGTGCCACAGGTTCCACAGGTCTTTCTGGGGCGATGTCTGGGTTCGCCGAACGCACAACGGTGTTCGTCCACGCGGCAATTCTATTATCACCGAGTTCCGGGACAGGGGCCAAGTCACTATTACCTGCTGAGGTCGGATTGGATGTGATGATCGGATCCATATTTTTGGGATCTCCAAAGCTCATGTAGATCTCCGAGTCCCAGATCTTCGAGGCTTGGAACGTATGTGTCGGAACCATGGCTTCTTTCTGAAGATTTCGAGGTATCTGGAATTCCCGCGTCTTCAAGTCCAATTGACGAAGCTCTCCGATGGCTTTCTTGGAGAGATTTTGCTCCATTCTGTTGACGACCACACGTTGGTAGGCAGGGTGATGGGCACCCATGCTGACAAACTCAATGGTGGAGTCTCCTTGGTTTGGAGGCCAGATGAGGAGATCGCCAGTGGCTGGGAGGGATTGATTGCCAGACTGTTTCTGGAAGATGTCCTGAAAAGAATATCAGCGACCAATATCAGCGATGATCGGGTGGCTTACGAGTAATGGTTCCAGCCTCAAGAGCTTTTCACGAGCTCTGTTGAAGTCTCCTTGGATGATTCGGTAGCGCTTTTCAGCTTCTTCCGCAAAGAGCGAAGAGCCTGTTAGTCGTGAAATGTCGTTTGCATACATCGGTGGAAGGATGCCGATGTTGCCATTCGCAGGCTGCCAATACGTGGTCACATGAAGGAGTCCATCAAGAGCGTCTTGATCATCGGATTCCTCGTCTGATTGATATTGTAACAGAACGCTGCCCTCGGCCGAGTCTTCTGGGATAATGTCCTCGACTACCGTGCCTTCCATGGGACGGATTCGGGGTTCATCATCAAAGCCGAGCTGATTCGACTGATGGTATTCAATGTACCCAGCCATGCGAGTAAGAAAATTCGGCATAGTATCCTCATCATCTGGATCGACATCTGCGCAGAATGTCTATACAGTATGATCAGCTGCATTTGGGCCTTGCTCGATCCCGAAGACTACAGACCTGGTTGGAGGCATCAAAGTAAAAGAATGCCGCCGCCTCGGGGTCATGGTGAGCATCTCTGTGTCAGACTGTTAGTTTGTTTGCGCTTTGAACGGTGGCCAATGTTGTCAGATGCAAGCGGACGTACTTGTCGTTTTGAATCAGTTCGTTAGACTCGATGAAAGATGTCAGTTAACGACCTAATGGGGTTTCATTTCAGCTCAAACTCACAGCTAGTTCGGTAAATTCATACAGCGAACGCACGATGATCGTCTTCTTCTTGGTCGCCATTTTCCACGAGCAACGCCGCCTACCACGTACAGGGCGTTTTCGCGGCCTGACGGCCAGGAAATGAAAGGAAGCCTCAACAACGGAGGATAAGAAGCGGAGCGGGGCCAATGGTAGCTGTCTCAAGTGGAAGAGGTACAACAAGTATTAGGTATTATGCTAGAAGGGGCAAAGAGTGGGAGCGGTTGTCGTGGGACCCAGTGACTGGGTGAGGACCCCCAGATTTTGTACGCCGAAGTTCTCCGCCAGGAACTGAAGCCACCGCGAGGGGCGTTTCAGCCTTGTCTTCACTGGCGGTCCAGGAAATTTCATTTCCTGCGCTCGGAGGGGCGGGGTGAATGTAATATACTCTGTAAAGACCGCTGTCTGTAACAGACGGGCTTCATTCACCTTAGTCATGGCCTGTTTGTGCATGCTAGTGTCTTTCAAAATGTTGCTGCATAATCCATGCCGTCTCCCCCCTCCCGCCCGTCCTTCTAAACTGTTCTTTGTCCCTTAAGAAAGGCGCTGTTCTGATTATCCTGAAGGGAAAAGTAAAGCTGCAATTTGATGTCAAGCAGTGGTCCTCTAAGGATGTCGCCTCATTCACGCGGAAGCATCAGAGCCCCTTCTTCACAACGCTCAAAAAGGTCCTCACGATCTCACCAGGTGAAGCAGAGGAATAGTGGTTATGTATTAGCGGCCTGTTTTTGTCTATGTTCCATTCATCACTTCGTATAGTCATGTCAAATCTTGTGCAACGCTTCAGTTCCAGAAGAATCTTTACCTCGCCACCTTTGCTGAATCTTTCCGCCTGTGTTTGGTGAGCACGTTCTTTGTGGGGCTGCGGCTTCTTTTCGCAAGCTCCTCGTTGGCGGTATGCGGTCGGGCAACGTGGTCTTTTCGCGGGAGCTGGGATTCTTCTTGCGCTGGATCGCGATGGTTATGATTCACAATATCTTCAACTCTCAGGACCCATCGCATCCTTCCTGTCACCTCAATCATCTCATCCAGCTTCTGAGCCACTGCTTGGTCGTTGTGGCTCGCAGCCTGGCGAAGATCGGAGATGGCGGCATCGACTTCGTGTCTGTAAGCCTTAAAATTTGTCGTCAATCTCTTTGTCAACTCTTCAAGCTGGGCAATGGTCTGGCGTTGCTGCTCGGCGATGATCTCCAATTTCTTCTGCTTGTCCAGATCATCCTGCTGTCGCCGCAGAAGCGCGTCGAAACGGCCCCTGATCTTGTCCAATCCGCTTTGATGTCGATCGTAATCCACCTTTCGACATGCGACTACGGTTTCGTACTCTACTTCCTTTTGGACAGCAAGAGCCCTCGCCTGGCTGGCTTGGTCTCTCCATACCTCCTCATTGGAGGTTGCGGCAGCTGCCTGGGCTTCTGCAGTGGCGGTCTTCAACTTCTCCTTCCTCAATTCTTCTCGTAGCTCCTCGACTTGTCTCTCCCGCCGTGTCAGTTGGCGAAGGCTTGCCTCATGAGACTGCTCGTAGTTGCTGGTCCGATCCTGGAGCGATTGGTTCCGGGTCTTCAAAGTCTCATTCTCTTTCTCTGCCTCCTCAAGCCGCGTCTTGAGTAGTTGTTTCTCGCGCCGCAGGCGGTCGATATCTCCTTGAAGTCGCTCAATTACTCTGCCTGATTTTCCCGTGCCAGCGTGCCCGATCGCCGATGACCAGGGGACCGATTCAGAGGAGGGAGAGGACTCGGAAGATGATAAAACTATTGATTGGTCAGCATCAGCACAACAGGCGGCAGGGGACGCATTGAGAGAGCAACCGTACCTGAACGCATCATGGAAGCACTGGATACCCGACCCGAGGCAGGGCGTAGCCCGTCTGGCTGACTCGGCTCTTTGAGCGCTCCATTCCCTTCAGACATAATGAATGTCGCATTCACATCAGAAAACGCGGGTGGTGATGCCCCTAATGGAAAGGTTGGGTCAGCGTGATTCACGATTATCAAGCAGGTGCGGCTGAGAGCCCGAGTCTGCCAAAGGCGCCCTTGATGCAGATAGATTCATACCCAGACCGCTGTCCAGCGCTGCGTTTAACCGAGTTGCGGAACTTCTTGAAAGACGTGACTTTCTCCTCATGACACGCCGTGATCGGTCAGCCGCGATCTCACGATAGGCAGAAGGAGTGCTGAGCAAATTCGGACCAGGTGTGACGGCAATGGCAACGGCAATATGCGCTTCCAGATGTAGAGTGCAGGAGCAATGGACTGTCGCATTGGATGGGCACGACCACGAAAGACAGGAATTTTCTCATATATCAGCAAAAGGTGCGGACTGAGGGAAACTCCTTTCCCAACACTTGAGATGATGGCATTATTTGTTTGAGATGAGCCTTTTGGGTTGGTGGAGATGGGCCGGGTCAGCAACGCCCGGCAAGTTCGGGCAGCCTACAAGTAGGCACCTTGTTAGTAGTAGTCAGTGGCCGGGGGAAGGCGCGTCGACAGGCAAACCCGGTACTCCCACGCGTCGGGTGCCGCGTTCAAGAAATGAGAGATGGGCCCTGTCAAGCCCCGTCCAACCATCAAGCCACCCAAGGCCACCCTTTAGGCCCTGTCTCTCGCCTAAGCCTTTTCAAAGGCCCTTTTTGGGCTTTTCCGGGACCAGTCCCTACCTAAGAGGATCGTCACGCTAATGCCAGGGGCACCAGGGGGTAAATGGCCCCGCCCAGAAAACCAAGTGACGTGGGCCGGACGAGGTACCTGTCCCGACTAGATGAAGACAAATTTATTGTACTCCCAACCGAATGCCTTACTCTAGTGGCTTTGTAGAAATTCTTCAGCCTCCTGAGTACATAGGTACAAAGACTCCACGAGAGACCCTCCCGATCAACTCAAGAATATGACTGCGGCAAAAACGCCGAGCACCAATGCAGCCGAGCTCCCCAGCTGGCCAGCTGCCCCAGCGTCTGGCACACTTGTCGTGGCCGCAGCCGTAGGCGCAGCCGAATTGGAGCTTGGTTGGCTTCCACCGCTGGAGGGGGAAGAAGAGGAAGAGGAAGACGAGGTCATATGTTGGGTCACAGCGGGAGCCAGGCTCGTGCTGGTGGTGCGCGACAGTGTTGCGGAGCTAATTGCGAGATAAAACTCAGTGTCCTTGAATGTCTTGAGAAGCGAGGTGTTGGACGGCGAACCCACCTGAAAGTCATATTGCTTGCAATCATAGTGCTTGTTCCCAACGAAGCGATTGCAGTGCTCGTCGTGCTGGTCATGCTGGCGGTGGCATTGGTCGCGGCCGTTGTCGTGCCGATGCTTGAGTATGAGATTGTCGACGTGCCGCTTCCACCCGCGATCGAGAACAAGCCGCTGTAGTTGATCGAGTCCTGTCCCTGCGTAATCTGGAGTGCGTAATCTCTGCAATGGGTGCCGATTAGATGACTGGAGCCATGCGATGTAGGTGGGCATGAGAAGCAGCCACATACGATGCAGTCGCCAAACTCTTCGAGACGTTCCAGATAAAGAAATCCTCGGTCACTCCATCTGCCAGTGTTGCAATCGTCTTGAGATCATCCGGATCTCCTTCTCGAAGCGTTATTGTGACGGGTGAGCCATCTCCGCCAGCCCAAGTAATACTAACAGGCCCAATGTTATTCTTCCCGATCTCTTTATGGAGCAGCGTGTACGCACTTATAGGATTCCCCAGCAACTACCAAGGCAGGGACTGAAGTGAATGCGATCCTTGCCTGTGCAAAAACATGCGTAAAGAGCGAAGCGCCCAGCAGGAGGAGGTTTGTAGACAGCCTCATTTCCGCAAAGATTGATGGTCGGACTGAGAGGTATGCTTGGATGCAAGACCGGCAATGAGGCTTGTGATCAGCAGGAATCGCAGAGGAAGGATTGTCAGCTAATATGTCAAGCAACACATATAGAAACGAATGAATCTGAAAGAATGGATGGCAATGTCAACACGCCTTCCACAAGAAGTATTTCTCCAAGGAACGACAGTGAAATAAAGTACAAAATTACCAGAAGAACAAAAATCCCCAGCAAATCGACCCATGATTTCGCCTAGAAATTTCTTTGCTTCTGCAACGAAAACGCCGAGATCGTGCAAAAGGCCCAGATCCTCGTCGACTACCTCTGGGACTGACGCGCGGAGCCAGTAGCCGATGGTAGCGCGAGGCAGGGGTGGATAGTGGCCAATTTGAACTAGGTCAATCCTGTCGGACCATCGTGCAATTTTAAGCGGTCCCTCTCCTCCACATGGAAGGCTGATGAGAAAACAAATGCCAATGATGACCATTATCAAGGGAACGCCAACAGAGGACAGGGAACGACCATCCACCCTAGTCAGCCCGCGAAGAAGTGCTTTATGCAGTGGTGGACCTCGATTAAAACAGTCATCGACATGTATGCTGCAACGAGCTGGATGACGGCTGCTGTGACATGGCAACCTTCAGCCGCGTTCAGAACATGCCGTGTACATGCGGCTGCGGGCCACCACATGGTTTCCCCTCTGTAACAGAGCTGAGCCATTGCACTGCTCCGTACACCGGAAAAGAATACTTCGTGTTACGAGGAACCACAGGCCGCGTGGAAACCGATATCGAGAGTCCAGAAAGTGCACTAAGTGGCACTTCCTCACCAGCTGGCGTCCGAGCCTTCCAATTCAAAGCATGGCGAAGCAAGGGCGTAACCGACCGAGGCGAGAGATCTCGAAGGGCCCCTCTCGATACACCAGCTGCCAAGGTGTGTGTCATTGAGATCTCACCACGCACTTGCCCTTGAGGGAATCCGTTCGGATGGAGCATCGTGACGTTGGCGGGACTGAATTGTGCATACGTCCCTATCAGATTCGGCGCGGTGGGCCAAGACGAGACCTCATCCGGAGCATCACCCATGAAAAAGTCAATGCAAAAACTCGTATCAAGTGGAAACCGATCAACAAGCACGGTAATGGACCATTGTCTGTTGAGATTGTTAACGCGAAGGCGTCTCGCCAAATCGAGAGAAACGTGACCGAAATTCTCGGCTATGCTCGAAGATCTCCGCCTGGTCCATCTCGTTGAGCTGCTGACTGTGCTGTTTGATGAAGGGTTGTAAAGTGAATTGACCGCCGTTCGTACATTCGCAGCTAGCTCGCCTGGATTCATCTCCCAGTCTGGCAGTTCGGGGTAGCTGTAGCCAAATCGCTTCATACTGCGAACGTCATTAGAGGTAAACAACGAGCTGCCACTGTCGGAATGAAAGGGAGCCAACGCTATTGTGTATTAGTTTCCATGTCTTCTGTCGTTTGGGTTACACCGACCGGTTGTTCCCGAGTCAACAAAACCAACAGCCTCGTAGTACGATCCATATGCATTCACGGTCGGCTCGATGTAGGTGTCCGGATAGAGCGCTTGCCACATGGCAAACAAACGATCAACGTTGGCGTGATGCAACCAAAAGACAGGATCAAAGCCCGCAACTTCTGGAAATTGCATGTGACCGTATCCTCCAATGCTGTTATGGATGCTGTTGTGGATGGACTCGATATTATTCGCGGTAAGCCATTGACCCCCGGGCCAGGTGCACGAGAATGCTGTGTAATTAGTCACAGACGTGAACAGTTGATATGTTAGTGACTGGATTCTGGAACACAATGTGTTAGTGCTAGCTAGCCTTGGGCAAGGAGGGAAACTCACGTAGGAGCGTTGGCCAGCAAAGCTGCAGTGGCAGCGCTTTGATTGCTAGATCTTGTATTTGGACTCCACCAGCGAACAGTTTCCGAAAAGTTGGCCATCTACACGCATGTCGCGGTCAGTAGATCACCCGTGGTTCAAGAAGGCCGTCTATACCCTACCGGGTCGGAAAAAGGAAACCCATTGCCCGCGGCGTCAAACTGGAAGAAATAGGCGTAGAGAGGATTTTCCACTGTTTGTGGTCCGTTTGGAGTATTGATAGAGATCTGCGGCTCTGCAACCACGTCAGGCAATGCAGGATAGACAGCCCAGTCCCAGTAAGGGACCCGCAAGGTGAGGGCCGCGTTCAGATATTCATCGCGTTGATCAACAGGATAGAGGTTGGCAATATCTTGGGCATGCTGCCAGACCAATTGCTATACAGGGTCGGTCAGAAACACCCGAGAGAAGGGAAGGGAATAGAGAGTAAGAACTACCTCAAACAATGCCACATAAGGTCTGTGCCAGGTTGGAAATGGAGTTGCAGCGTGTGTGCAGAATCCTGGATAGCTACCACTACCTGAGACACCGTCCCAGGAAGTCCGAGGGAACCCATGAATTCCTGCCACGGGTAAGCACTTGGGCAAATAAATGGCTCGCGATCAACAACCTGATACTTGAAAGTAAGAAAGCTGGTCTGACTGGTCAACGTCCTGGAGGTCTATCAATGCCAGAATGAACAGGTCGAAAGCAGGGCCCGAGTTCGCAAAGTCATGAATCTCATATCTTAGAGGCCGCACTCCCGTAGACGAGTTGACACCCCCCTGGGCACCAGTGATCTGGAAAGCAATCGAACAGTCGATCAATAACAGAACTGAGAATGGAAGCAACGTGAAGTGCTCTTTGCACCGGAAGAAGAGCGAGAACATGGTCGGGAGGTGGTCAAGATATGGAGAGCTGGCAAGGACAAAAAGTACAGAACCTTTGCCGGGCGAGTATTTGCTCATAAAAGCAACACATGTGGTGGGATCATGGCCACCACCTCCTTAGAATTCCCACCCTCTTCTTGAGTTTTGTTTGTTAAACATGCCGATTGCCAGTCCCTGGGACCGCCCACCGATGCGTTGGGCCCAGCGGCTCGGGCAGGTGCATCCGTTGCCTCCAGTCGCATTGTAACCATTGTGCAAATGTCGTGGATACACGGTAGAGTCCTATCCACGGAGCGCAACCTGGCCAACCCAATTCCATCTGAGACCGCCTGCGTATTCAGTTCTACACGAGATTGGGGTCTTGCCAACGACAGGGAAGCCGCGCAGATAGACAACGGGAAATACACAGCAATCACACACTGTTTTTCAGTCCAAACCCTTTTCCGAAACAGCGTTCCACAATGCTCTTCCGATATAGTGAATCCAGGCGGAGTCCGTGCAACGGGCATTCTGCTGGTGGTACCGACCAGGGCAGCTGCTGGAGGCAAACAAGGACGGGTTTCTCTTCAGAAGGGGTGCGTGCAGCCCGCTCCTGCAGGGGCTCTGATTCTGAGATTCGCACCCATTTCACGTGTGACGGAGCATTGCAAACCAGGCAAACCAGACGCTGGGATGGTGTAGATGCGTGCCACAAGCAACAAGAGCGCCGTAAGAGAAAAAGAAAAAACGAGGAAGGTTGACCTACGGCCAGCTGCGGCTTGGCCCGAGCCATTTCGTCATGCCTCTTCCGCCGATTCCTTTCCTTCGGCTCGCGCGGAGTCGTACTCGGTAGATCCCTCCCAAAGGTCCTTCTCGCAGGGAAAAACCACGCGTCTTCAATAAAAAGTTGCCCTTCACCTCTGTCGCTTCTCATCCACCTTCGCCCTCGCTCGTCCTCCTCTGCTCGACAAGCGCAGCTCCACGGAACAGAGCCCAATACTTCAACGCAGCAAACAGTCGACGGCTCTGTTTGTCTGAGATTCCACCATGGTCGAATACACTCCTCCGCCCGAGGACCTGTCGCGCCTCAACCCCATTCAGCGGTACATGCAGAAGGGCCAACTCGACAAACAAGATTATGTATACCTCTTCATTATCGTCGCTATATATTTCATGGCCAGGCCTAAAATTGAAGAATTCTTTAAGTGGTGGATGGGCCAGAAGGATCTGAAAGAAGGCGAACAGGCCCGAACAGAATACATGCACTCAAGGGCGAAAGTTGGACCGAACGTGATACGCGGAACTGAGTCCACAGTGCTGGAAACGATACCCGAGGTCTCTGGCGATACTGCAACTGGCACCAATATGGACAAGAAAGGCAAGGTGATGAATCGAAAGACCAAGGAGAAGTCGGGCGCAGAAAAGTTATTAGACTGGGAGGATGAGCCGGAGAGGAAACCTACGGAAGGAGACAAGTCAGACATTGTGGCGTGGCTCGACAGATGGTCTAACGAAGAATGAAATGGACACTACAGCTGTCATCCTTGCATCTACTTAATGTCGAGACTTTGATGCCGCACAGAGGACACGACAAACTCGAGGCTTGGGACACATAACACGTACCAACAGAGGCCTTCTACGTCAGGCAGAAATCAACTACTGTCAGTTCCCCACCGCAGGAGTCGGCAGGTGTCAGGTTGAGCGACAGTTGGAAGTCAGACGTCGGAGGTCGTCCTGAAATTAACAATGTTGCTTGAGCATTAGCAGTCAAGCCAACGCGTTGTCCCCTGGTCCTCAAAGACCGGAAGTACAACAAGCTCTTTCAGTCATTTATCCCCGAGCAGGTGACGGATTCGTGGCTGGCAGCATTGCCTCATTACTATTTGTGGGGTACCCTGGACATCAAAAGAATATCACTGAGGAAATTTCCACACTTAAAACCATTCTTCCACAGCATCAACCACTTGTACACTGTAGCTGTCCTCCCTCGATGCCGTGAACGACAAACAATCGGAAAAGCCGAGCCGAGATAAGGAGAGAAGGGAAAGGAGGGGGAGGCGCAAATCAATGCGAGTTGTCGCCAAGGCGAGGCTGTCCCCCCTGAAGCCGAGAGATCCATCATCTCTTTATTCCCTTTTTTTTTGGCGCTGCCTGCTAGGTTCAATGCACCGTCACTCCTTGAACACCCTCCCGTCGGTCTGTACGCCAGGTTCATATTACGAAAGCTTGACGGCCACACCCATCCTTCAACAATATGACACTTCCCAGCATTTCCCGTGTCCACGTAGCCCTAACAATAGCCATCACCCGCGCACATCCCATGCGAAGCATAGTCATGAAACTCATAATTGTAGAGCTATACCAGAAATCCATCATATAGCCGGGACATTTCTCTGATATGCCCTATAGCAAAGGCCGGAATGATGTGCTGGCCCTTGCCGCATTTTCCTGATACTGTTTTTCTTGCCGGATCACCAAGGACATTTTTAGATATCTCACCACTGAACCCCACTTCGAGTCGGACTTCCGTCAGCTGCCCTCACTGGGACGATAATCGAGGAGAGGAATGTCCAGTGGGTATGTAGTAGTAATACCGGCAGGGTGTCCACGCACTGTTTCCACGTTCAGGTGGATAGTCAAGCCGCCAGTGAGATCTTGCTCCAAAGCACGTTCGACTCCGGTTTGCCCATCCTCTAAGGATCTCGTGCCTCCAGGGAGGTATCCACTGATGGAACACCAATTGCGCCGCGGGAGGAGGCGAGCATTGCGACGTATTGTACCGTCTACGTCCTTCGCAAACACAGGAATCATATCCTCATCAGTCTCGTGGTCGACGTGGCGCGTCCCGCCAAAGCGGCCGATGATATATGCCATAGTTTCCGAAGGAGGCCTGTTGGTAATGGCGGAGGAGGTGACATTCACCATATAGCGAAAATCTTGACTCGGTGGGAGGGCCAATTTCCTGTTGCTATAGAACCGGCCGAAGGCAGCAAGATGAACGTCCCCTCCTAGTATGGTCACGCGGACTGATTTTTCTGCAGCTAGTTCTTGCAGCCGCTTGATGAACTGCGCCCTTTCTCTTTTATGATGCTTCGCAGTCCAGTGGTCGTCTAGATCATCGAGGATCTCAACACCGCCATCATATTTATTGAGGAGTTTGTGTGGCAAAATCCCACTTCGCGCCAAGGCCTTCAAGGGTGCAAGTGCCCTCGAACTCAAGACATCCTCGATGAAACTGAGACGGGGATAGGCGATTGGCTATAGAAGGTTAGCAGGCCGGAAAGAGTAACATCGCGCGAAGATGCCGTTGTTTCTTACCACACCGAGAAGGACAATCAAATGCTTTGTCACGCCCCTATGGATCTCTCTTCTGCATCGTTCAAATACCAAGTTCCAGGTGCCGTCACTCAGGATCTGCTTTCGCATTCTCTCCGTACGGCAGTCCAACCCAAGAAACGCAATTTGAGCCCCAAGGAACATAAATAGGCTTCTGCTCAACTCCTTAATATATGGTCCTGGCTGTGCCCCGAGCACCCAGCAGCGTTCCTGATCCTCCGTACCCGGCAGGGTCTGATGCTGGAAAAGCATGTAGAACTTGAATGCCGTAGCTCCGAGGCCCGCGAAGACAGGACAATCCATAGTCCGGTGCCGATACGAGCCGAAACCGTCGATTATGTCGTGGTCGTCCCAGATGTTTATCATGGGAATATGGGCATTCGCAACGCTGAAGAGACCCTGGGAAAACCAGGTTGTGTAGTGCTTTAGGAAGAACTCCTCTAGTTCATCTCGCATCTCTTGGCTGAACGGTATAGAACGTTTATAGTGTCCGTTTTTCATCCGGAGCCATTCCTTGAAATAATGAGTCTTGACCGTGCACTCATCGTTATATAGCTGGTCACCACCTCCGATCATGACGTGGAACGGGCGAGTCTGGTGGCTTCTCAGAACATCGCGCCATAGTGGGTCAGGCCCAGAGTACAGGTCAGTATCTACTCCAAGGGAAAATCCGTTGCAGGACTGAAACATGATGTTCATCGGCTGCCCTCTCGCGGGAATCCAGAAGTGGATCATAGGGCCGCCGCTGATTCGATAGCCGATTCTGGCTTCATAGGAAGACAGCCCAATCTGAAGATCGAATTTCCAGAATGTATGACCTTGTTCTGCATGTAGGCGTGTACTTATGATCTCGTCGATCTGGTCCTCTTTTGCGGTGCCTGGTAAAGCTCCGCTGTTTTCGCTGTCGACGTTTCCGTCGCCCGAAGGAACGGCACTTGGCTCAACGAACAAGCCACCACCATTTTCTATAATTGAAATATCCTTTCTTTCAAGAAGTTCAGGTGGCTTTATTTGCAGCGCCTCTCCCCTCCTGGATAGTTTGACCAGCGAGGCGGTGGACGCTTCTTGCCCAGCTGGTTGTTTGAAGACCGAGAGTGTCGGAGATGATTCGTACGAGGAGTTCGCGTCCGCAGTGACAATCATGACACTGCCTCGCCAGATTTCCCCATCGGGTTCGCTGGCAAGGCGCAGATTCCCTGACTCTAATTGTTTATAAATGCCAGTGAACCGCAGAAGAGGTCCGCATGCCAAATACAGGCTAGCCTGGGTGGACATCTTTAGGCGTTATCGTCGGTAACATATAAAGTAGTGTGCGACTTTGAATGATCTTCTGGGTTGATGTACAATCGCTTGGGGCTGCAATGTAATACATCTCGAGGACACTGTCGGCTGGAGCGGGGCTTTGAGCTCTAATGAGAGTTCTTCTCGGCGTTGCCTTCGATATCTCATGATGTTCGTATTTGCATGACACGGACATGGCTTGATGGCGAAATTGTCGAAGTCGTAACGGATCATTGAAATTCCATTCCCGAAGCCTCGGTTCGAATAGCCCCGACAGCGTCGTTGCTGTCTTAGGGCGGCAACATAATTGTCCTAAAAGGGCATTGGAGACGTGTGCGCAATCGACATGCTAGTCCATCTTCAACCTCGAGGACACTTTTCTACCGAGAACACACGTTGACGAC